CGGTGGCGCGGCGGCGAGCGGCGTTGCACGTGGCGCGGTGGTGGTGAACGGTGGCGCGGCGGCGAACGGCGTTGCACGTGGCGCGGTGGTGGTGAACGGTGGCACGGCGGTGAACGGCGTTGCAGGCGGCGCGGTGACCGGTGGCGATGGTGTGGCTGCGGTAGGCGGCGCCGCCGGCGATGGTGGTGTGGAAGTTGCCGGCGGCACCTGTGATGATATGGCAGCGGGTGAAGTGGGAGAGCGGGCGAACGGTGAGGGGGGTAACAGAGGCGGTGAAATGTACGCTACTAAAAACGGTGCGGCGGGGACATCCGAATCCCCCCCCTCGCCCGCCGGCGCCGGCATCTCCAGCGGCGGGGTCAGCAACGGCGCGCGGTCGGAGACCCACACGACGTTGTTCGTCATGCACACGCGCCCCGTCGCGAACTTGAGGACCTTGACCGCCGACTCGTGATGGTTGTCGCCGTTGTTGAGGTAGCAGCACAGCACCTGTCTCTTATACACATCTAGANGAGAGCTCCTGCGGCGACTTGTACCCGACGTTTGCCTTGGTCGGAGAACGGTTGAAGCNTCATGCACACGCGCCCCGTCGCAAACTTGAGGACCTTGATCACCGACTCGTGATGGTTGTCGCCGTTGTTGAGGTAGCAGCACAGACTGCCTGGGGATCCACCTTCCGCGCGCGCATCACACGCATGTACCCCGGCTGCAAGAACGGGACGATCTGGAGCGGGGGCGGGCGGCCGGTGGAGAGCTCCTGCGGCGACTTGTACCCGACGTTTGCCTTGGTCGGAGAACGGTTGAAGCTGCCGGCAGCCCAGTGACACGACTCTAGCCAAAGTCGCTCGCCATCGCGTCCGAAGCCGGGGAGGCGGGTGAAGTCGATCTTGGGGAACAGGCGGCGTGCCTCGAGACGAGCGGGTGGCCGGCCTTGTTCACGCGCCAGATCGCACTCTCCGCCAGACCATTCTGCTGCGGGGTGCCCGGCGCCGTGTACGTACGGCGGATGCCCGTGTTGTCGCAGAAGGCGATGAAGTCGCGTCTGACGAACTCCCCCCCGTTGTCCATCCGGAAAGAACGAGGGACACCGGTGCTGCTCATGTCGGCGAGGAACTTCTTGACAAAGGCGAGGGTTTCCGACTTGCGCCTCATCCAGCAAAGCTTCATCCACCGCGAGAAGCTGTCCACGAACATGATCATGAACAACGACCCCCCCAGCGAGGCCGTCATCGGCCCACACAGATCGATATGCCAAAGGTCGTGCGGCCGCTCCGCGCGCGTGCCCGATTGGTGAGGCACGCTCGCCTTCTTCCCCTTCGCCTGCAGACATCCACCACAAGGCTGCAGGACACCGGTCAGTCGGAGACCGTGCTGCTTCGCAAGCTCACGCAAAAGAAACTCATTGGCGTGGGAGCACGAAACGTAGAGAAGGTTAACGTCAATAATCTTGGTGGGTTTCCCCACCGAAAAANAATTGCCGGAGGAACGACGCTGCTCGCAGCGGGCAGGAGACCGTACACAATTGATGACACCACGCTGTTTGCAGCGAGCGGGAAACCGGGCACAGTAGAGGGCACTACGCTGTTTGCAGCGGGCGGGAAANGAACATCAAGCCTAAAATCTCTTAGGGGTCTTCTGATACCTCTCTTTGTTCCAATAGGTGCACAGCCCACTCGTAATCTCCCTGCTCTGTGTACGGAATGCATCCACGGTCATCATCGTCATTACTCTCCTGGAAAATGGGGATGTCGGGCGAGGGCAGGCCGGGAACAGCTACCAACTCCATACCATGCGGCACTTGAGGAGCGGAGGGAAAAACCACACTCCTGTCAGCGGGGGAGGGGGCATACACTGTCGAAAGAACGACGCTGCTCGCAGCGGGCGGGATATTGATCACAGACGATGGCACTACGCTGTTTGCAGCGGGCGGGAAACCATACACCGTGGAAGGTA